AGATGGCAGATAAGTTGACAAGGCAGCCTACCTCTCTTTAGGTCCTCTTCCATCCTGCTCTCTTTCCTTTCTTGAGGAGCAAAGTATTATGATTCCCCTTCACACTTTTCATTCTGGGCTTTGGGAAAATTAAATCATTTTAGGAACAAGTCTCCCTCCTTTCCAAAAGAAAGAAAAAAGAATGAAGACGTGGGAGGGGAAACTTGCTGCATCCTTCCAAGCATCTTTCCCCCAGGTTAGACCTATGGAATATCTAATAGACCAGAGTGGAGAAACACAGCACAGGTTTAAATCGTAATTCTTTCTTGGGATCAGGCCAGTCTGATAGACAAATTGTGCCTATAAGGTGGGAGCTAGAAAGAGATAATTTTGAGTCATTATTGAAGGCAGAAGGACTGGACTGCAACAACTTTGGCTAAAGTACCTGCAAAGTATTGGAGCTGTTGAAAAATCCTGTACTTTCTCAGTTGCCTTCATAAAAAAAGATTTAGAAATGGGACTGGAAATAAATGTGACTTCTTTGGAAGGTTTCTCTCTGAAATATGATCTGTCCGCAAGCCGCCTAAAGTCTACAGCATGGGTGTCAAACTCGCAGCATCACGTTGCCGTCATGTGACATTTTGTGACAGTTTCCCCATTTGCAGAGCAGGGTGGGTGTGGCGTATGCCCAACACATCCAGCCCGCAGGCCACCAATTTGACATCCCTGGTCTACAGTATCCAAAATCTTGCAATCCTGAGCATAGTGGCCAAAGCAATTCATCGACATTTGAATGGCCACATTTAAAAAGTTAATTCTTAACATTAGGTAACTTTCACAGCTGTGTATGAAAAGTCTTCAGTGTTGTGATCCTTGAGCTAATGAAATAGTCCTTGTGCAATACTTGAACTGATGAGTTTGAGACCCTGGTTTGGAGAAGCAAAAATACCAGCTGCAGTCTCCGATAGACGCTACTTATAAAGGTAGTCCTTGACTTACGACAGTTTGTTGAATGACTATTCAAAGTTACAATGGCACTGAAAAAAAGTGGCATATGATGATTTTTCACACTTATGACTGTTGCAGCATCCCCATGCCCACGTGATCAAAATTTGGATGCTTGTGAACTGGTTGATATTTATGACAGTTACAGTGTCCCAGAATAAGCTGCAATGATTTATTTAACATCTGAGGCAAGAAAAGTCGTAAATTGGGGCAAAATTCACTCAACAAATTTCTCAATTAGCAACATAAATTTTGGGTTCAGTTGGGGTTGTAAATTGAAGATTACCTATATGCATTTCTTTGGGCTTCTGTTAAGAGTCTGTAATATGCAGGAACATTTTTGTTCGCTTTCAGATTCCTCTTGTCAAAGATGTCAAAGATGTCTTTATTTATCACAACTATCTCCTTCAGTATAACAGTTGAAATTAGCAAATGTGTGAGTGCTGTTCAGAGCTGACTCATCCACCTACTGGAGATCTGAATCAGAAGCTTAGTACTTGGAGCGAAGTCTCAGCACTAGTGAAACCAAACGTTCCCCATCAGGACACTTGCTTTTATGGAAGATTATATATATTGCCAGTTTCAGAAGAAACTAATTAATTCATAAGCTGCCCAGAGTTGTCTCTGGACAAGATAGGCAAAATTTTGCCCATCTTGTCCAGAGACAATTCTGGGCATCTACAAATTAATTAATTAATGCTAATTTGCTCTCCTCTTTGCAGATATTTAAGGAATAATATCACAATGGTTATGACAAGAGAAAAAGCATGATAACTAATTATCTGGAAGGATAATTGCTGGTTCATACAATTTTCTGTGCATGCTCAAACTGTGGTAAATATTAGGAAAAGCAAAATTGGAATGAAATAATGTTTTTATTTTCAACATAGCAACTGAAGTATTATAGCTTGTATTTCTATATATGTTGTTTCACAGTCCCTAGAGTTACAATTATTTTCTTGTAGTGGGGTACATTAATTTTTTTCTTCAACTAAATCTGTAAAGAGAGCAAGGCATAAAGGTCTGTTTAGTGGTGAAAGCTAAGGAATAAATTCTTTCTTAGGGCAAGAACTTATCACAAAAGCAATTCAATTATTTTCTTCATATGCCATACTCTTCTAATGAGATGCCACAATTCACAGGTATTCAAGAAGTGCAAGTCTTATTAAACAAGAGAAAATAGGCTACAGGACATGAAGGCTATAGAACTTCATTGGGCAAGGGATGGATAATGTTTCAGATGTTGCTGAACTAGAACTCTTTTGATTTTTTGGAAGTACATTACTAATTTCCATCTAATATTGTTTAGCTCTTTCACAAGTCCACCAGAGGTGATAAAAGATTCCTATTTGACTCTGATATTTCCAGCAACTATTTGGGAATACATTTTAGCCATTGCATCTGGGAAGAAATATCATCTGTATATCATTTTAGAGTAATTCTTTTTGAGGTTACAGCATAAATTCCAGTTCCTTTATATACATATTTTCCCATTGATCAGTTGGTATGTTAGATTGAATTGTTTTTGCCCAACTTATCATACAGCTTTTAAATCATTCATCTTCTGTTTCTGATTTTAACAAAATATATATATATTTTAATGATAAGGTGGTCATCATTTGTACACATTTCCATTTCAAAGATAACTTTATCATGTTTGAAATTGTACAGTTTCTTACCAAATTTAAATCTTAAATTTGCAACTGTGAGGTGCAAATATGAAAATCATTGACAATTGCAACCTTTTAGTGCCAGTTATTCTCCGGATTTTAATTTAGTATCATTTGTGGAATATTCCAATAAATCTGCACACCTTAACTATTTTTGTCTGACCCTTTTCTATCATATGTTTTAGGAAGGAAACCATAAAGGTATTTTTGGGCATAATCTCATATTTATTCCAAATTCTCAAAATGGCTCACCTAGGACAGTTGATTTCTAAAATCAATATTAAGCGTTAACTTTATACCATCCATACGCAGGCCAGGCCAGGCCAATTTGTAATCTTGAAGGATAACTCCAGAAGAATTCTGCCAGAGTTCCCCTGGCCTTTTAGATCTATTTTCCTTCTGCTCTGTGGCTTATTACCCGGAGCCCTTTGTTTGACAAAAGGACAGAGATGTGATTCATGGAAGTCCTGGTGGATAGCCTGCTATTTTATTGTTTGGTGAAGAGTGTTATTTATTATGCTTAGTCTCTCATGGGTAGTTGCATTTCACTGTAAGTTACTATTCCTATTCCTATCAGCAGATATGCAAGAAAATGGTCAATTGAATTTAGGCATAGTGGTTTTTGCTGGGTAATTTTTTCATTGCCAATAAAACTGACAACAGAATTAAATGAGCCTGCTTGAGAAGCGGGCAGCATATTCTCTTGCAGCAGGATTGTTGACAAACTATTCAAAAGTAATCTTGCAGTGTATCAACTTTTATTCATTTCTTTGTGTCTGTGCATTGTTTGGGAAATGGAGTGCAGAGTGGGTATTAGGCAGCAAATTCTATTTGGCAATATCCTGTTGAAGTCTATGGCAAGAGTAGGGAAGACTGGATATGTTTGTACATGTATTCCTTTTATCAGTAACTGCTGCTTGGCAGAGAATGGCATGTTAGGAAACTGAAAGATGCTTAAATGGGCAGACTTCTCTATTTTGCAGGTACTTCTTGGACATTCATGTCAGCAAATAAGGACCTATGGGTCTTCATAATGACAGGAGGAGCTGACATTTAGCACCCTTTCATTATTAAAGTACACTTGTTCATAAATTATATTTTAAAAATTCTATGTGATCCAGCATTCTGGAATAGAGGCAGACATTTGCATTCACCTGAGTAGGCTTTAAGGTTTACCTGACTTAATCTGAGAAGTCTCATTTTCTCTTTTTATTTATCTCTTAGGAAAGCAGATATAAAATTCTATCATTCTGATATAAAATTGTGATATCTGCTATTACTGTATTTTGCTTTTCGTGGAATTGATTGCTTGATTGCATATATGTTGTCAACTTGGTGTCAACTCTTAGTGTCTATATAGACAGATATTCTCCACGATAATCTGTCTGGACCTTCAGCTGCACCATTGCTATACTCATTGCCAGTGTAACTGAGTCCATCCATCTTGCTGCTTGGCCATCCTTTTTCTTTCCTTCTTTCCCAGGATTGGAACCTTTGCCAGAGGGCTAGGTATTTGCAAGCTATGTTTGAATCAGGGTACTGATAGATTATTATTTTGTAAAATAATTACTTCTGCAGTTTTAGAGATGGGGTTAATTATATATTTATGCATCTGTTTTTTTGACATTTGGAAGCAATATGCAATTAACACAAACAAAACAGAAAATAGGTTTAAAACTAAGTAAAAGAATAATTTTAAAAGTGTAATTATAAACAATTATGTCGGCATTGAAAGATGGTAGCATAGATACCAAGAAACTGTTGTTAAAATGCCCTTTCTCCAGCAATTGAGCTTTTCTTCCATAATATCTCTGATAAAAGGTTCATCTGGAGAATACCTTTGTGAAATTATGCACTTGGAGAACATAAATAAGATAGAATAGTTGTAGGAATATCCCCACATGCCTTTGAAAGACAATATAAAAGTACATTTTAGAACGTTTCAATCTTCTGATCTGTCTTTTCTAAATTTTCTTGTTCCGTTGCATTGGATGCTTCATAGGATTTCAGGCTTTTAATTTGCTAAACTGAATTTGGGAGTCCCTAATCTCTCAATTTAGTCTCCGATAGACTTATTGATGAGGATGGGGGAATTTCTAATGCCACAGATCAAATGGGAAATAGAAATCACAATACATCTTTTACACAAACTCTATATCTAATTGAATTAATTACTTTAATGTAATTTAAATCATTTGTTTTCTTTGTTTCAGCAGATTTTGAGACTTTTGTAATCTTGGAATTGAGTTCCCAGTAAAGAACTATATGATGTTGAGGTTATGTATTTCAGATACAATAGTATTCAGCATGTTGATGTTTCATTTCCATTGTGTTTTTGGGATGCAGGTTTTGGAAGTGGTGCGCTCCAACTATGATACACTTACCTTAAAATTACAGGATGGCCTTGACCAATACGAGCGCTATTCAGAACAACACAAAGAAGCCTCTTTCTTTAAAGAGCTGGTGAGTTTTAACTCTCTGATAAAAGTCAATTGGCTCCTGATCCAGCCTACAGTTGCAGTAATAATGCAACAAAAGCTGCCTGTATATTCATAAAATGTATGAATTATATCACTGTAGAGGCCTGATCATTATTTCAGTTGCATGGTGAGCAAGTAGACTTAAATACATGCTTTATCTCCCCTTGATTTGGGATTCTTTGAATTCTTGAAGAAAACCGGAGATGCACATGAAGACTTTTCTCCAAAGGCAGAGATATCCCACACTTACTAGTTCAGCATTTTACAACAGATCTACTGATGAAGCAGAAATAAAAACGTTTTCTTCCCAAGCAGACTTTTGAAATGCTCTGTTAGGATATCCTGTTCTCACGAGTTGTACATATCAAGAGCTGACTGCTTATTGGACTTGTGCAAGCAGCCTTAATACATTTTGACAAGATGCTTTCCACTATGAAAATGAGGCCATTCACCTCACTGAGATGAAGTGGCAACAGGAATTGCCTGGGCATGATGCCCTTATACCTTTTGGCATTTGCAAAAGTTACTTTAGCCAGGAGGAATTGTGCTGCTTTGGGAAGCAGCTTCAAGGGGATACTTCGCCAAACGGTCGTTGATAGGTGCAGCTTAGCTTCTTATTCCCACGCTGCTTCAAATAGTTTTTTCCACTCGAACTTCTTCCTGTGCTTTATTGGGCATTCTTTGCCAGGCTATCCCTATATTCCTCCTTGCAAATATAGGACAATGGCTGCTAGCTACCATTAATATTTTTCATTTGTAAAATATAATTTTCATGATAGTGAGCTTTTCCTAAATTACATGGAAACAACTATGCTTGTCCCCATCTGTGTAGCAGGAGCACCGTTATCCTCAATATGCAGTATTTGAGGATATGAGGGAGCAAATACGTTGCCTCTGTTCTCTCTTTTTCCCCCTTGGCCACTGTCACTATTTTTTCTATATCCTTTTATTCATTAGGTGAAGAGTTTTATCTTTGTTTTGATTAAAATGAGGACATTGTTTTTCCTAACTCATAGAAATTATTCTTTGAAGAAACTATCCTGATAAACACTAATAGTTCAATTCTTTATCACTGAGAATAATTCATGTCCCTGCCAACAAAAGTCTCTCTTTCTCTCTCGTTCTCAATATGTGGCATGCCCAAATGAGGAACCGGGAAGCCTTTTTTCATTATTTTTCAGTTGGTGATTAAACATCAACCAGTTTAATTTATTTATAGAGGAATATTTATCTCTTATTTCCCTAGAGACTAATTTAGCCTCATCCAAGCCAACCCTTTACTGAAAGCTACAACCTCATTTCCTGAGTTTACTTTCAAAGTAGAAGAAAGGAATCAAGCTGATCCAGTGTAACCTGCTGATGACAAAATACTTTACTTCTCTTTTGTTGTTTTCTTTTAGGTCCACAAATACCAAGCACCTTCTCTAGAATATATATTTTCATAAGATTTTGTCACATAGGTTATGAAGTAAGATCAACACATGTGGATCTCTCTTCTACTGTTTACCTTTTGTACAAAGTGTACTTTTCTAATTTATTTAGTTATTGTGATGGCTTTATTTAAAATTGTTTTTAACTGTCCTCTCATAGAGCACTCTGGGCTCCCCAGGAGAAAAGCCAATGTAGAAACAACATAAATAAAAAATGTGCAGAATGATAGCATAATAGACAAATGCAAAAGCTGCCTCCTCGCTCTTCTTCCACTGTACAGATGTTTGTATCAGTCTTAAGTCATCTCCCAATTTCCATGATTGCAGGACTTTTACAGCTTGTGGGCTTTTACAGCTCTTGGTATATGGTTATTTCCTGAATTTACCTCCATGTGATTCTGCTCATTTCCCCAAAACTCTGCTTGGCCACACATTTCAGGGAACCCACAGTATGAAGCAGATGAAGTAACCATATACCAAGAGCTTGAAAAAGTCCTGCAATCATGGAAATTGGGAGGTGACTAAGATTGATACAAACATCTGTACAGAACTAACTTTTTAAAGTAGGCCAGACCCCGTAATTTATAAAACTTTAAGAATTTGACCACTTTTTAAAAAACTATGTTCTAGTTGAATTCTCTCATTTGCTTTTCTATTTTTTCTTGAAGAATTTATTAACTTCTTCAATGAATGAACCACTGAGAGACATGGCTTAGGGTTAACAAACAAAGTGACTTATTAGAATATTCAAACTGATTGTTTGATTGTTATGTATAGCCTGTTCACGGACGGATGCCTATCAAATAAGAATTTTCCTTGGTAATGGAACCATAATATGCTTGCCCTTGGATAGCTTTATCTATGTCTTTCATTCAGGGGCAGGCATGTGGAACTAGTAGATTGAAGAAAAAAATTAATATCATTGTATGGAAAGTACCTGGTGAAAGGAATGAAAATACTTGTTAAAAAAAGTATAGGAAAGGATTGATCAATTCATTGTTGCTCAGGACGGAAATGCCGTCATGTCTGGGCTTGTAGACTAAGCCTTGACACTGGGTTATGCTTCTTTTTTCATATAGATTTTTTTTAATGCAGCTAACGCTACAGTATAATCACATACGTTCATTTTTTTGTATCTAGTAGTAATATAAACTGCATCTAACAAATATGGCCTTCCACGCCAAACAGTTTACTGCATTGAACAATGGTCTATTCAAGGCCTCCTTAATGCTGGAATATTGGGCCAAATGTACGCCAAAAGTGATATTATAGTGATTGTTCTGTCTCCTACAGGTTCGGTCCATCAGCATCAACGTACGGCAGAATCTGGCATTCAATACTCTTAGCCAGGAAGCCCTGTTAAAAGAGTTTTCAACCATCTCCTGAAGCTGTCTTCTTGCTTCATAACTAGTCCTGGTATTACCGTATCATTTCCTGCAGAATAGCTCCCGGATGTGGAACAGTCTAACTCCACTGTGTGGTTCTGTTTGTGTTTTGTTTTGTTTTTAAAGAGAAGATCAAGGGAAGGCTTGGACTTGCCCCATACTCTTGAGTTTAGAGACTTAACAATATAGACTGCATTGGGAGTGGGAAAGAAGGGGCAGGGGTTATTTCTCTCTTTTTTAATTTCTTTGTGACAACTGTTGTGTAGGGATAAGAATTGTTTACTGAGTGAGCAAGAATAGAACAGAAGAGTGTTGCTTAGAGAGTTCAGACTTAATGGTTCTCTGAAGACTGCTGAAGCCTGAAGTGAGAAAGGGGCACAGGAACCAAGATCTTGATAATATGGAACAGTCTGACTGAACACTTATTTTATGTAAATTTATACTTGGATGCTTTGAATCTGCGGTTCGTGTATATTGTTAGGTCCATTTTAGTTGGTGCTGAAATTAACACTATGGGCTCTGTCTTCATTCTGCACAAGGTCTCCTATTCTAATGGTCTTGCCAGAGCTCCACCTCAGGATGGCCTTGGTGCCCAACCTAAGGGTCTTGCGGTCCGAAGTTTCTTAGCTGAGAGATTATCTCTATGAGTTTATCCTTACTATTCCATTGTGCCATGCTTTAAAACCTTGGGAGTGAAGATATTAAGATGTATTAGTGATTTTTATCCCCAAAGGAGCAATAAGGGAAAACATTGTATGGTTTTACTTCCACCCCAGTTGTGCATCAAAAGAAGGCAGTTCCTCCTGTACCCAAAAGGTTGACTGAGCTCCTGCCCTAGAGTCCTTCACCTTTTTCTGGCTTCTCAGCCTTGGATTCTCTACCTATTGGTAGGGTAATCGAGTGCTCTCGTCAGGCTTGTCACTGTCCTTTCTATTAAAAATAACCTCTGTGAATTTCACAGCAATTGCAACTGTTTAAGTCAGTTCACACTTTATGTATTCCAATAAAGTACTTCCTTGGAAATTCAGAATTAATAATTTGTCTACTTTATCAGTTCTTATTTATTTTAAAGAAATATTTATTTGGGAGGGGAAATAAATTTATAGTCATTCTATACTCCTGTCTGTCAAATGAAATAACTCATGCAAACCAGAGCTGCGTAATTATTCTGTCAATTTTTTCTCATTATTTTGCAGGATTTATTTTTGAGCCATTTTTAATGAAAACGATAACCAAGGCACTTAATTGTTTGCATTATACATAAAGAATTCACACAACTGGGCTTTGTTTGAAAATTAAAAGTTGGCTATGATTCTGGCATTGTGCACCATTTATAGATCTATTCTTAGACCTGTAACGTATGGCAGTGTTAATATTTGAGCCACTATTCATTTGGGGATTGAGGAGCAGTGCAGTATTTTCCCAGATTCATATCTTCTTTCTTCTCAAACCACTGCCACTGGAAACAAATATGATTGGATGAACATACACAAATGCATCTTAATTTGGCCATTCATACTAACAGAATGATAACCAGAGATTTCAATTCAGAGACAAGGGTCATTTGGGGAAAATTTTTGCTCTTTGGAACAGATTGGAGAAAACCCTGTGCCCTCCTCTCACCCACCGATGAACTCACCTCTCCTAGTATCGAATTATGAGTTCAAAGATGCAAAGGACAGCTTCTAGAAGAAAAGCTACGGAAGTTGCACTGCTGAACAGCACATCCAAGAGGCCGTTGTTAGTACTCAGTAAAGGATTGGAAGGGGTTACAATATCCATGGCTTTTGTGCATGCAGTGTACTTTTTTTGTGAATGATCTGGGCAATAATATTATAGCTGCTACTAGTTATATTTCCTTGTATATTTCCCAGTACATAGCTCATATATCTATTGCTGATATATGTACCCAAATTGCATAATCTTTATTTTAGGACCCTTAATTTTCTAATGAAAATCTAGACTTGAACTTTTGTGTTAGAGAGAAAATGGAGTTGAGAATGTGTCCATTTCATTCCAAACTTTTAGAATTTTTCATTTAATCCAAGATTTCTGTATAAATTGGTATTGCATCCATTTTCTCCCAGGTGACTTGGACTGGGCCTCAGCTAGCTTGGAAGAATAATATGTGTATCTTCTGTCTTTAACCAGGGATGTCTATCACTCTTCCCCGGAGTAGCCCTTCTTTTGACATAAAGGCAGTTGCAGCAGGTACTCCCTCTTCCTTCAAACTTCAGTTTTCCAACTTTCAAGTTTGTTGAAACCCTTCTGGTAAAGTGGAAAAAAATGAGACCAATATTTTTCTGAGTTTTAAGGATGAGAAGCTTCTGGGATTTCTGTCCCTATCTTTAAACCCATCCATTCCCCAAACCTTGAAAAATGCCCCAGCCTTGCCATTACCTGGCTAAACTGAAATTGCTTTTAGGGTTTGAAGAAAAAAATGGCTTCCTACTTCCTTCCTCCTTAAAATCTCAACACAAAGGCTAAAATCATCCTGAAAAATGGGGAATTCAGGCCTTCTTTAAATTCAGTAGTTAAAGACCTTCCATTCCCATTCTATTTTAATTTGTAAATCAAAATAAAATTTTGTGGCCCTTTTTTTTGTTTGAGAAGCCTCAATTCTTTTTTTAAATATTGGATTTTTTGTTGCCAAAATTTAGCTGACAAAGAGTAAAAAGGGTATTTGAATCAGCATTAGTTTCACAAGCTGAGAGTTGTCTATCCCAGCTACGCCTTTTCATTGCCTTATCACATGTCATTGCATTGACTCCTTCTGATAGAGGTTCAGGCTGGGGGGGGGGGTATATTTAGTGGTAATGAGAGACTAAAATGGGATGTGGTTTAGAATTCCCACAGATTTATTTAAACACCTGAATAAGTCTTAAAATTATTAATGTATCGCTGTCCTCACAATTGGTTTTAGGTTTCTCTGAGGTGCTACAGTAGTAGGTAAATGGAATGATAGGTGCCAGGAGACAAATATATTAATCTATAATGACTAAGGCTGTCTGTGAGAAATTGGTTAAAGAAAAGACTCGGGCTATTTAATTTATCTAGCTTCTCACCACCCAACATGACTATATTTTAGTATAACTTTTTTTAAAAATTTCAAGTGAAAGATCCACATTGGCATGCATGCACACAACTGCACATATGCACACATCAGCTTCCCCACCTATTGTTCTGCTACTGCAAATTAATCATCTTGTTTGGTTGTTTGCTTAATAGCCACCCATTTTACATATATGACTCTGGGTGGCTTACAAAATTAAAAGCACTAAGATAATACCAGAAATAACCAGAATCAAAAGGACAAAAATAAAATAAAAATCAAACCTATTCAAGCCAAACAAACATAATCTTCAAGAGAGCACAATCAATTGTTCTAACACCTTGCAGGCTCCACAGCACCACTACAGATCCCCAGGCAGGATGGCAGAGCCATGTCTTCAGGTCCTTCCAGAAGGCCAAGAAAACTGGGGCTACTCTGACCTCAGGAATGATGTTCCAGAGAGTGATTGCCATGGCAGAATAGATTCGTGCCCTGGGTCCCCTCAGATGAGATTCTTTCATGAATAGGACCCACAGTAAGTCCTTTCTATTGGACCTAATGGGGTGGGTAGGTGTGATTAGTGGCCCTTTCTTTGGCTTGAGAAGCCTCATTTAAAAAAAAAATGTTCAAATGTTCAAGTGTTCAAACTTGCCTTTAGTTGAATTAGGGGTAAAAGATGGGAAGTTTGAAACCTTATAGCCTAAAAACTTACTTATGGGTGTTCTCTAAATCAGTGCTAGGGTGGTCCTTGAAATAACCTCATATTCTCAACAAAATCTAAGCTGCCAGTATGCAGTAACAGAGGTATAATTATCACTGATCATAAAGACAGTTTCCAGTTGCAGAACATATAGAAACAAAGCTTTTAAACTGCCCTACATTTGGTTATTCACCTAGGGTTCAAGAAATTTCTAGAGCAAAATTTGAGGTTTGAAATATTTTAGTAAACTACAAAAGTATTAATTGGAGTCCAAAATATAGTGTTGACCCAAAGAAAAAAAATCTACATTGCTTACAAAAATCAGTCTTCTATAGTGAGTATAATGATGTGCAAATCTGTGTAACTGCTTCTTTTTCTAGATTTTTAAAAACTTTTTGTTGGATATAAAATCCATTAGGTAAGGCAGTTTTTGAGGCCAAATCAGTCTCAGCATAGTCATTACTCTACAAGCCAGGTTTCATTCCAATGTTATGTAGCATTACCAGGATTCATGCCTTCCTACATATATTTATCAGGAGATTTTTCAGTCAACAGGTGACTTGCAATCCTGTAATCTGGCAATATATTGAAAGATATTCCAAGCCTAGCTAAAGTTATAAGCATTTCGGAGCAGGAATCCAATAGGTTTCATCACTCTCCTAGCCTAAAACAGTTTGATAATCCAGTTGCCACATCCATGTAACTGCTTGGAGTGAGGATGCTTGAGCCAAATTGGTTAGCATATTTTCAGGATCTGCATTATTTTTTCTTGCCTCTTTCTTTCGGTGCGATGGGTTCCTTTCATATTGTAAGCCTCCGGGCAAGGAATTGACAAGGAATGTAAACACTGTCTTTTCTTCAACTGTGTAGAATGTGAATGTGGCCAAATTTCTCTGCAAAACTGGGCAGATTTTCCATTGTATAAGTACTCAAGAAATAAGCTGTCTCTGTTAACCATAAGACATTAGGCCTCTTCTCATTATAAACTTGAATGTGCTTTTCTTGGCTGCCTTTATGATAGCAATTAGCATTTCGCTTATAGTCTTCTCCATATTTATCTGTTCAATAACTTTTCCCCAAGGGCAGAATTTAAACACTGTTTGCTCTGATGGAAACTTGCCTAGCCCAATACCACTGTTGCAATACCCACTACACATCCCAAAACTTATTACAAAACACCAATTTGGAACATGATTCACACTGGACAGGAGAACATGTTTCACAGTGAAGAATAAAAATGAAGAAGAGCCAGTTTGGTGTAATGGCAAAAGTGATGGCCTAGATACTCTACTCCCGCCTTGGTTTGAAAGCCATGTAGGAGATTTTGGGCAAGTCGCACTCTCTCAGCCCAACTCACCTCACAGGGTTGTTGTTGCAGGGAAAATAGGGAAGAGTATTAGGTGTGTGCAACAATAAAGTAATAAAGGTTGGATAAAACTCAAGTATTCATCCTCTTTACTGCACAGTAGGACTTGTATGAATACTGGATCTAGTAGTAAAATATATCAGTTAGTTCAAAACATTGTTTACTATCCACACTTTAAGGCAGTGCTTCCTGAAGATTTTCCTCCATTACCCAAAACTGCTTATCAGAAAGTCCTTTTTACCCAAGGTAGGTCAAACTTTTTAGTCGACTTAAATGTCACTGTTGCGATTGGGTAATGGGCTTGTATGCTATTACACAAAGAAAAACCACTTTTACCTAGGTTTGGATAATTTACCCAGGTTTAGAAAGCACAGCTTTAAGGAGAAATCCATCATGATTTTGCAGATGTTCTGCTTAAATACTGAATTCAGTATAAGATGGGAGGGTTATGTTTTATTCTGCTTGCTTAGGTGCCATTATTTCAAATGCCCCTTTGTCCATGCATAAAGGTGGCACATATAGGCTTGGTACTAATTTTAAGCAAATCTCAACAGTTGCAGACAAATGTCATATTAGCATTTGGGATGCGAGAAAGGATGCATTTTGTTATTTTTAATTTATCTATCAAACTTAGAAATCCCCCATCTTACAGAGTAACTATGGCAGTGTACATCCCAAAGGTGCTTTTTCAAAAAGCAGCTGGACTTCTTTTGTTTTCCCTCGAAGACGTTTTGCTACTCATCCAAGAATGAGAAGAAGAAGCTTGGAGAAGCTTCTTGGATGGGAACTGAAACATCTTTAAGGAAAAACAAAGAAAGTCCAGCTGTTGTTTGAAAAAGCACCTTTGCAATAACCATGACTGAGAATCTCCATAGACATCTGGCAGTGTACAATTATTTATGTATTTATTTATTAGACTTGC